TTTTATGTATTATCTATAGATTTTATTTGCTTTTATTTGTACTTTCTACAGATTGAAGTATATTTTTCTCATTCCATTTTATTTTTCCTAGTGGTGCAGATATTATTTATGATTTTTCATTTTCAGTGGTTACTCTAGAAATTACAACATTCATTTTAATTTTATGAATCAATAATTTTACTTTTCTTCTTATTAAAGGAATTTGATATTCTTAAACTTCGAATATCTTCTCCTGGGCTTATATATACTTTTTGTTTTGTTTTAGACATATCTTTTTGTTTGCTTTTGTTTTTTTAGTTCTTGCTTGGACTTATTTTTTAATTCAACAATTAGATATTATAATTTTTGTGTATATGTCAGTGTTTAGATTTATCCACGTTTTACTAATTTCATTTATCACCATTTCTTTTTATATCTGAGATCTCTTTTACCTCTTCTTGAAGTACAATCTTTAGACCTTCCTTTAGTGAAACTCTGTTGATAATAGATCATTTCAGTTTTTAATTTGCTGAAAATTTTTTTATTTCATCCTCATTCCTGAGCAGTGGTTTTCTGTATATACAGTTTTAGGTTGGTAGTTATTTCCTCTCAGTACTTTGAAGGTATTGACTGGATGAATTCCGGATTTCGTTATTACTATTGAAAGTCAACTATCTTTCTAATTGTCATTTCTTTGTATGTAATTTGGGGGAATTTTTCCTCCCTACCTATTTGTAAGATGTTCTCTTTTCTGGAGTGTTCTGCCGTTTTACCATAATGTGTCTAGGGATTTCTTTTTCAGTTTTTGTGTTTGGAAAAGAAGAAAAGAATATAGACTATCATCTGTGTAAGGCCAGAGTCCTTGTTTGTCTTATTTACATCTTTCCTCCTAGCCTTAGCGGAAGGCCTAATACGGAGTAGGAATGCAATAAATATTTGATAGGTAATGAGTAAATTTATAAGTAATTCTAATTAGTTTCCTTATGAATAACAGGAAGGAAACTTCTGTTGTATCTCAGCATATCTAATAAACATGTCTTATCTCAGATCTCTCCAGTAAATCATAGAAGATAACCAGGAAATGAATGTTTTAGTCATTTTCTTTTTTTGAGGGGGGGTAAGATTACATATTTTCCCTCTATAAATCTAAGGAGAACTTGACTTTACATTTAAATAAGCTTCCAAGTGAAAGTTTGAAGTCCCAGGAGTTTGACCTTAAAAAAAAAAAAAAATTAGGGCCTAGAAAACTCTGAATACTAAATAATCATTAATGACAAATAATGAGTGTAACTCACTTAGTTTCAGTCAAACTCATTCTTCAGAGTATGACCTAGAGGAAACACCAAATATATTCCAAGCCTTGTATTTTTCAAATATTAGGTTGATGTGACCCAGAGGGATATAAATTGTATGGTGGGTATCATGTTTATTTTCTTTACTCTTTCACCACCCTTTATTCCTATCACTCTGCCCCTAGGGTCCATGTGTCGATGTGTGCGTGCACGCATGTGCGTGATCATAGCGCATCATATGAATTAAAGCCTTGTTATAGCTGGCAACTATGTGTTCTTTTCTGGCAGTTTAGCCAAATGTAAAGAGTATGAGCTTTCAGTATAAATCCTGTTTCTGTCATAGTACCTTTATACCTTTGGCAAGTTATTAAACCCTGGTGAGCTTTGGTTTCCTCATCTGAAAGAGAGAATAATAATAACGACTTCATGATTTAGAGTGAGGATTAGAGACCTGCATTAAGCGCCTAGCACATTCCTTGGTCCACTGTGTACACTCACTAGGTGTTGGCTCCCCGTTCTTCCAACAAGACTCGCAACTACCTCAAGGATCAGAGAACGTGGCAAAGGCACAATCCCAAGAGATTGTTCTGATGTTGTTCAGAGCTCTGAGATGACAAGTGACTCAAGTGCACATCTGAGTTGAGCAAATACAAGGATTATCGTGATTGTTTCTACAAGGATAGCAAGAGGTAATGACTAACAATTCTGGGAAGATCTTATTTGTGTTAGGTGTTGGCAGCAGCTCTAGGCATATATGGTAAAGATGACATGGAGGACCATTTCCTGGGCCATGTAGACAGGTGGTGGCCCACTTCCCCTGTCACATATGAAGCTGCTGTTGGTGTGCTAGCCAGCTTACCCCATATCCCAGAAAGATTTAAAAAAAAAAAAAACCAGAAGTGAGATTTTGGTATGCCACTATTGGGTCATTTTTAATCTCTGATCTCTATTATTTCCCTTGTTTTTTTCTTTTTGTGTAAACTCTGTCCTGTTGCAGACGTTGGCAAACTCTTAAAAACTAAAATTCCAGAGAGTAAATATTATAGACTTTGAAGGCCATGTGGTCTCTGCTAAAAATACTCAACTCTGCATTTATAGTAGAAGAACAGCCAGAGATAATACGTAAACAAATGAGCATGGCTATATTTCAATAAAACTTTACTTACAGATGCTGAATTTTGAATAGAAGTCATATCATTTTCATATGTCATGAAATATTGCTCTTCTGATTTTTTTCCCCAACCACTAAAAAATGTAAAAACCACTCCTAGCTCCCAGACCATACAAAACATGTAGTGGGGTGAATTTTGCCCACACACCATTGTTTGCCAACCTCTGCCCTATTGGTCTCCTGAATTTTCTGTATTTATTTTCTCACAACCTGTGCATACCATATCCTTGATACGTTGAATATTAAATATATGTCTATGTTTGAGTATTGTTTTCCTTTTCTCTTGCCGTCATAACAAATTTAGCAGCTTCAAACAGTGTAAATATATTCTCGCCCAGTTCTGTAGCTCAGAAACCTGGGTTGGCTGGGTCTGTTTCCCTGGTCAAGGTTCACAAGGCTGAAATCAAGGTGTTGCCTGGCTGCACTCCTGTTGGAAGGCTTTGCAAAGATTTGGCTTCCAAACTCACTTTGGTAGACAGAATCTGATTCCTTATGGCTGTAGGAATGAGGCTTCTGTTTCCTTGTTTGCTGTTAGCTAAGAGCCAGCCTTAGCTCCAAGAATCCTTTCTCTCTGGTCCTTGCCTGTTGATTGCTATGTCTCAGAGCCTTCTCAGTGTGTCAGATCTTTCTCCCATTTGGAATCTGACTTCCCATTCTGTAGCATTGAAGCATCACAGATCTGAGTTCCTCCTCTTCTTCCTGATTTTAAGGGCTCCCTAATTACTTTGGGTCCACCTAGATCATCTAGGACAACCTCTCTATTTTAAGGTCAGCTTATTAGTAACTTTAATTCCATTAGCAAAATGCAGTCAGCAGTACCAAGCATTTGGTGGAATAACGAAGGGACGGGAAATTTGAAGAGACATCTTTTAGAATTCAGAATAGCACGGTTACCACCTCTCTTTCCAACATAAGTAATGATACATGTCTGTGGAGCACTTGAGATGTATCCAGAAATAATTTAACCCATTCAAGCATTTTGTTTTGGTACATTAGATCTTAGATTTGATATATTCCATAAATACTTGGAGGTAGTTGGTAGCTAATCTAGTAGCCCTTGCTTCTCAACAGATGATCCAGCCACTTGGGAGTAAATCTGAGATATACGTGCTATAGGCTTTCCTTTCAGTGAATAATTTGCTCCAAGGGTAACATTTTCACTTTTTTTTCCCCACTAGTGGCACTGTGTTTCATATATAATTTAATTTTTTGTCTTTTAGATTTAGAAGTAGCATTTTAGAGTAATTGCTGGTGGGGAACATATTGACATATTTTTCTGGGGTGGTTTTTTGAAATTTAGGATCCAGTTATTAATTTCTAAGTCCACTTAGTTGCTGAATCACATGTATATGATTCTTAGGGCTACAAATCTCTAGTTGATCTCAGCTGCTTTTCTTCAGCCACCACATCTGACTTGTCACCAATCTTGCTGTTTCGCAGTGGCCAGAGAATCTATGTTTCTTTTCACCCCTTGGGCCCATCCCTGATATACATCTTCATCATTTCCTATTCTGTCTGTTGCAATAACTTCCTAATTGGCCTGCTTCTGGTTTCTCCTTTGTCCCTATAATGCTCCAGAGATTATATCATTCAGCCTGAGCTTTAGAAAAACTGAGAGTTCATTCCAGCTCCTTAACATGACATCCAAAGATTTCCATTATATGACCCAGTCCTACCTTTCAACCTCTTTTCCATTACAGTCCTCTGTAGACAGTGGTAGTTGAACACTACTGTACCAACACTTCTATAAGCCATGTTCAGAGAATGAGAAATAGGCCTGTGCAACTGGGATAAAGGGTTTGTGTAGTCATTGCAGGCAGGGTGTTTAAAAATGGGCATGGGCATGGTTGTTCAAAGATCCTTCTATTCTACCTTCAACATTCGGTTGATTATGAAATCCAGGCAAGCCCTTCTATTTTCTATATTTTTAATTTATCTCTACTTCCTATATTTTTAATTTATCTCTTCATTTCCCCAGCATGGGTCTTGTCATCTCTCTTCTGGACTATTGCCATGGCCAAACCTGTCTCTTTGTTCCGTTTGCTCTTTACTCTAAGCCGGTCATCATATTACATCAAGGTATCATTCTAAAACAGAGTCTAATTTTGGCCCCTTTGTAATTCAAAACCTTCATTCTTTCCCCATTGTTTCCACTGAAGAGTATTTGCGCACTAATGCAGTGGTTAAGAACTTGAGCCCTAGACCAGACTACTTGGGCTGGGATCCTGGCTCTATCACTTACCAGCTATGTGATATGAGACGTGTCGTTTTATTGCTCTAAGTGTCAATTTCCTCATCTATGAAATGAGCATAATAATGTTTACACAGGGTTGTTATGTGGCTAAAAATATATGAAGTATGAAGAGCAATTAGCAAGTAACTGGTATATAGTATATACTCAAGTAATAGGTAACCATTATAATCATCGTAAAATACTGGAGACATTGAGATAGACTCTATAAATGACTGGCTATTTTTTACTCAACTAGGGATTTTTGGGAGTTAATTATTTGGCCAAATAACTGAATTTCAATGCTCTCCCCTTTTCCCTTGAGCAGACAGTTAAGGATCGTAACTGGTGAGTGGTTTTTTGAAGAAAAGGCAAAGCGTTTCAAGCAAGTCAATGTTCTGGGCACTGATGTAGTCCGACAGTCCATCTTAAGAAGAAGTCCAGGTAATTAAAGCAATTATTTGGTTTCAAAACTGTCTTACTCTTCATTTTGGTGGGCTCCATAATTTCCCTATATATGTTGCAAATGAACATAGTTGAATTTCCTGAATCCCTTAGGTCATTTCAAAACTAAGTAGAATGAAATCTAAATCAGCAATTCATGCAAGGGAAGAGGAAGTCAGTAGAAAATAAAATCCACAGTGATTTTCCATATATTTGACACACTAAGATTTTCAAAGGAGGCATTTATCTTCATCACAGATAGTTCTTTCCCTGAATGCATTTCCAGTATTTTACTAGACATTTAAGAAAGTAACATAAAACAGATGAATTAAATGATTCACATTGTGAAAGCAATCCTTGATTTTTCAACACGAATGTATTTCAATAAAATTGCTTTTAAATGTTCCTTTTACTAATCCAGTGGTTCTCAACCAAGCGATGATACTGTATCCCATGCCCTCCTCCCTCAAGCCAGGGGAGCATTTAGAAACGCAACAACCAGATTGCAATGCCCGAACAGTATTTAGTGGGCAGGAGCCAGAGTGCTAAATGACCTGAATTGCTCAGGACCCTTTCACTCAATGAAGAATTATACTGTCACCCAAAGCAAGTAACACCCCCCGCCCCTTGAGCCTGCTATTCGGTGCATTCAAACGACAGTTTAATTGGTTAAATATCGAGTGAAACTTGTGTTTAGGAGCCTGTTTCTCATGTAGAGCGTAGTAAAGGCAGGGCAAGCATCTTCTGGCCTGTTGCTAGGGCGCCTCATCTTTCATATCCAGAGACAACTGCCCTTGTTTTTAAGTCTGGAAGGTGGAGCTGGGAGGCTTGGGACTGATCCCAGTGTCACTTTTGGGTGTGGCCCTAGCAAGGAAGGGCTTTCCCACATGGGTAAGATCGGGTCTGATGCCACGCGGGGACAGAATGGAGTAGAGTTAGAATGAAGCAGTTAGTTCTGGCTGTTTTCCCCACTCAAACCTCAGCACCTTTTGGAATGTAGATTCCCTCAAGTCATGAGGTATAGACACAGTGGCTCGCCATCACAGGGAATCTGGTTTATGCACTCAGAATTTGGGTATTGTTAGAATCCCGTCTCTAGGGATTTCGAGTTCTCATGAACCCAGGCTCCTCCGCCCTAAAAATATCTGTAGAGGGATGATGTATCCTTCCTCCATCACAGTCATCCCTAAAAAGCTTATCTCAGCAAACCTCCCACCAGTGAATCCTGATGTTCATCTTCCTTTAACTCCGGAACACTCAGCAGATTAGAAATAACTGTGTGACTAGGAGTCGGGATGGGAATGTCATTGCCAGTTATTATAGACTTCTTTGTCCCGTGCTAACGTAGGAAAGTGAATGACGAATAGAAAATTGCTCTCATTTCTGGCCATTTTGTGCGGAACTTTGTCTTCTGATTGTTTTTAATGAGGAACTGAAGAAATACAAAGTCAAGAGCAACCCCGCCGGGACCCAGAAAAGGCAGACACTTCACCTTCTGCCAGGCAAAAGGCCGGTCGTGACGGACCCAGAAGAAAGGGGTAAGACATACCTTTTCCAAGGGAATAGTTGATCTTTATTCCAGAAACCTCTGAAATGAAGACTCCGTAGTTTTTCAAGTTGGATGTCACTTCAGTGACCCAGAGAAGGTCAACATAACCAACCAAGGCAACATTCTCCTATCATTTCCCTGAGGGAAATGCAGTTTTACTTACTTTTGGTCTTAAATAATTAAAGGTCCCCTTGGACCTGAACCTGTAAAAGTTTTTATTTCATTTGACATATCTGGTCTCGCACTGAATGGCTCTCATTGCTTCGAGGTAGAAACTTTCATGTCAGGGCCAGTCTTGTCTATAAAGATGTGACAACTGGCCTGGTTGTGGAATGTCACCACCCTCCCTCAACCTGAGTGCTGATATAGGGAATATCCAAATGAAAGATTTGTTAATTGGGCTTAAAACTTAATGTCCCCTGTTTAAAATGTGAGCTTCCTTAAGGAAGAAATCACGCTTGGCTACCTCGGTACCTTCATTCAGAAAAGACTTGTCTCAAGTACAGAGAATCAGACTGGGAGGCACAGAGGGAAGCAAGATTCAGGGAAGCACTAGGAAACTGGGGGCATTGGGGCTTCCTCAGGGGAGGAAAGAGGCCCCCAAAGTGCAGGCAGAAAGGACCAAAAGGCCAACTTCTGCTTCCCAGCTCTGCATTTTTCAGCTCTTCATTTCTCAGGCAATGGTTGGTCTGTTTTGTGGCTTAGGTAGTGAGGATTCTAATATCCACCGAGTCACTGCATGATTCTTTCTAGGTAGCATTGCTTTGTTTTCTTTTTTTTTTTTTATTTAAGATTCTATTTATGTATTTGAGAGAGAGGGAATGAGAGAGGGAGAACACGAGAGGGAAGAGGGTCAGAGGGAGAAGCAGACTCCCCGCCGAGCAGGGAGCCCGATGCGGGACTCGATCCCGGGACTCCAGGATCATGACCCAAGCCGAAGGCAGTCGCTTAACCAACTGAGCCACCCAGGTGCCCCATTGCTTTGTTTTCTTAGCAGGAAGCAATGTGAGAGTGCTAGTACTGATCCTTTCTCTGGCTCTAGAGAAAGTCTGGTTTGGTTTGGTTTTGGTTTTGGTTCTTAGAATCGTGAACTGTGAGTGGGAAGGAAGCCTAAATATTCTGTAACTCAGACACTCATGACTAACTATGTCTTCGTTAATTAGCAGAGGTGAGTGTGAGAGAGAGAGAGAGAGCCTGGAGTGACTGACCATACATCCCACGTGTCGATCCTTCCTCCCAGGTTGAATCCATTTGTCGCCCTTCAGAGCTCCCACAAGGCCGTGTGCCTGTGTATCACTCATTACTTTGTAGTCGGACGCCACACCCCGCTCCCCAGCCCCAGCACACACTTAACTATGAGCTCCCTTAGTGCTGGACTTGTGGCTTTTGTTTTTTCTTTCTTTCTTTTCATGGTATAGCCTCCAGCATGGTGCCTGGCTCATTGGAAATAATCAGTGGCTTGACTGAACAAGCCACTCAGAGCCCACAAGTGCTTGTAGGGGCTGTAATTTGCACACCCTAGCCCAGGCTTCACTGCGTAGGTCACAGAACGATGACCTTGGAGCCAGGAGACAAGAAGTAACCCACCAGCACAATGAATTGTATACACTCTGAATTAAAAACAGTCACAGCGCTGGACTGCAGCCTGCGGGAACTCAAAACTGAGGTCTGATATGTCTTCAACAACTATAACAGCTAGTTGGGTAGAAAAGGTTCACGCCTGGAAAGTTAATATGTATAGAAGAAGTTCGGGAAAGTGTAAGATGACAATAGGAGCTACCTGAAAGCCTTTCTAAATGAAAACGAGGTGCTAATTCACTATAAGAGAGATCATAAGGCAAGAAATAATTAAGTAAATCTTACATAAGGGGCTCAGATAATCAGTGTTGGGAGGTCACAGAGACCATTGGGAAAGACATCAAACTGTAAGTGTGACTAGATGGGGACCTTGAAAAATGGGCGGGGGTCCAGGATAGCAAAAGGTGGGAAAGAGTGATTCCACACGGAAGAAACAGCTTAAGTAGAAGAATGGATGTGGGGTCATGTGCAAGGGGGTTCTGAGAGCAGCACAGATTCAAATTAAGTGCTGTTCTCACCAAAAAATGTTACTTTCCAGTTAGATTGAAGCTTCTGACACTTTGACAAGACACTCTTGATATATCTTTGAAACAGAGACGTCTTGGCAGCTTCTATTAAGATTGTCCCCGTACCTTTGGAATACATTTTTCCCCCTAGAAAAGTAGAATATAAGGTAAATGAACTGCCTTCTCCCAGTGCTGTCACAACAAGAATATAGCTTTGCTTCTTTATTAAAGTATATTTGAAAACCCTCATGTTTTGGGCACTCAGTAGCCCGGATTGTGACTCAAATCTCAGTTCGTGAAAAGCTATTTTTGTTCAAGTTCTAAATAATTTAGTAAAATGGCAACAGAGTCGGATTTCATCTTACATGAGACACTCCATTGTTCAGACTTCACTCCCACGGGGAGAAATGTCATGAAAGATAGAAAGATGGTTTCCACCGCCTGGGTTTAGTCATTCATTCTGCAAGAATTGATTGGGTTCTCGTGTGTGCCAGGCATCACTCTCGGCTCAGGGGAGCTGGTAGGAAACCAGCAGGGCAGAGTTGTTGTTCTCATGGAGCTGTAGTCTAATCAGTGGCCACCTCAGTTTGTCCCAGAGGATCATTTTAGCTCCCTTCTCTGAGCAAGGGGAGTTCAGGCTCCCTATTCTTAGCATCCCTGAATACAGGCTCAACCCAGGCGATGTTTCTCCATTCTCAGGTGACAGTGGGGAGTTCCAAAGCTGATGGTCTTTTCCCTAGCAGGGACAGAGGCCTGGTCTCCCAGCAAGTGGTATGGCCTGGGGAGAATATGATAACGGCCCCTACCCTCACCCTTGACAGCATACTGCAGAGGCACTGGGTACTCCCCCGGAACCTCTCAGCCCCAAGGCCGCTTTATTGAAGAATTATTTACTTTTGAGAATATTAGAAACGGTATTCCTTTTTTTTTTTTTTAAGAAATGGTATTCTTGAAAGGTTATTTTAAAATGTCTTTTCTCTTATGTTACATTTTAAGTATAGACCTACTTATATAATTTCAGGTTTCTTCTGAGCAAGTTCAGATCAGCAACCAGAGGAGAAATCATAACTTTAAAAACGGAAAGTGGGCGAAGCTACAGCTTGGACTTAGACAGCCAAAACTTTCGGAGTTTAAAGTCGGTCCCTGGTTCGGACAGGTAAGGCACATACAGATTGGATAGTGGGAGAGCCCGAGAAGGAGGTTGATGTATTTCCATTCGAACACTGCTTCTAGGTACCTGTAAAATATTGATGGGTATTAAAGAGGGCATGTTCTGCATGGAGCACTGGGTGTGATACGCAAACAATGAATCATGGAACCCTACATCAAACACTAATGATGTAATGTATGGTGACTAACATCACATAATAAAATAAAATTTAAAAAAAATGTTACCTCTTGGAGAACTCCCAACATAATATGAAAAGACAGGAGGGTATTTTTTTAATTGAAATGGAAAGCACTTACCCTTCTGGAATTACAGCTATCAGAATCATCTGTGTAACCTGTAGGGATGAGACTTGATGTTTTGGGACTTAGGGCTGTGGTGTGAATGGAGGTGTACAGGGAAAATAAATTCTCATTGATTTCTTGATCTTCTTTCTGCTTAAGCTTCTGAAAAAGAAAGCTCGGAGCACACACACACACACGCACACACACACACACATATGTATATATATGTATTTCTTGCAGCTTTTAAAATAATTATTAATAATTTCATCACTCGAATTGCCCCAGAGAATTTCCATAAATTCCACTTCTTTCTAGTTCCACCTCGTCTAACTCGTCCACAATGGGGCCAAGTGAGAATCGTCTATGCACAGTTATCACCTTGTCAAGAAAAGCAAAAAGAAGGGGTAGCCAAGAGCATAGTCATTTCATATCAGGCTGGATTTTCTTTATCCTGTCGGGGCATAAGTCAAGGCTTATTTTTGCGATGAATGTATTATCAAAGGCCATGAGGAGAAAAAAGATCTACCCTCATGTTTCACTTGTTTGTCCAAATGTTAACTCCCCTTTGTTTTCTTGGAGCTGCAGTAATTCTGCAAAGCCGAGGAGTGAAGCCTCCTCAGGTTATGCAAGCCGAATTGAATTCTCCCCTGTAATTTATTTTACAATATGGAACACCAAATCCCCCTAGAGAGGACTCTGTTTTGACTATTCATTTTTTCCCCCGTGGTGACTCTCCATACCTGCTGCTTTTTTCTCTATAGCATTGCTGCAAGTATTGCACTTTATGTAAAACCACACAGAAAAAAAAAAAGGAAGTAGAAAATAAATCATGTATCATCCACTATCAAAAGATCGTCACTACATTCAGTATTTTTCAAATTTTCAAGAATATAGATATACTTCCTTTATGATAAAAAAAAAATTCAAACCCTGGTTGCTTTTGTCCTTGAAATAGTTTCCTTTGACTGACCTTGGGGTAGCCACATGTCAAGTTCCACAGAATCTTTCTATAAAAGTCTCATTTTTGTTTTTGGTTGTTGTTGAACTCCTGACTCTCCGACAGTGCTCCAGATTATTTAGAGACGATAAACAACTAGTTTAGTGTTGTTATCTTTGCCCAGCCTCTTGGGGACTCCATGGAGGAGCCATGTTGGCAAAGACTTCAAGCTGGCTCTTCAGAGGGGCCAATATATATAAAAAGAGGAAAGATAGGATTCTTGTAAAAAATTTTTTAAAAATCTCCTGACCCAACCAACAGGTTATTCCATTTTAAATTAATTAGTCGTCAGGTTACTCAATAAGAATAAGGGGCATGCTCTCTAGTATCACAGTGCTTTTGCTGTTCTTCCAGAATCCACCTGCCTGGGTTTATTTCTCGTGTGTTATCTACTGCTGGGTGTAAATAATCATTCAGTTATAAAGCCATATGGACCTGTTTCACCAAACACTGGTGTATTGACCCAGGATTTTCTTGTTCTTGTGAAAGGAGGCAAAGTAGCCTTGATCTTTTAAATCTTAAGTACCTGAAATGGTTTCTAGATCAGAATATAGTAGTCAGAGATGCTTTGGCTTAAGCATGCCAAGAACAATGTTTTCCCATTAAGAAAGATGGGGGGGAGGAAGCTGTTTGGGAGATCAGTAGAGCAAAATGTTCTTTTCCTAGAACGTGCATTTATCAAAGTGATGACTCATTAATGGACTGCCACAGTGAGATGAGTTACATCATCCCAAAATTATTCCTTAGAAAGTTGGGCAGGAAGTAGCCCATCTTTTCTCAACTCTCATCACCAAAAGACGTTAGCTCCTTTTTGTTTGCTTGAAGCTGCAGTAATTCCGCAAAGCCAGTAAAACTGGCAGGCTTTCTTTTCTCCTTAGGTTTTGCAAGCAAAACTGCATTCTCTCCCGTAACTTCTTTTCGAATATGGAACACCAATTTCCCTAAAGAGATTCTCAAACCCAGTCTCTTTTGTCTAGTACCTGAGCCCGCTTAGCAATGAATTCCCCTTTCTCCTCCACAATGCCTATTTCTTCATGGTTCATTGCTCTTTTTCTGCAGCAGCCGGCCTTGGGCATTCTTGTTTAAAACTCCTATCATACCAGAGTGGAAATGATGTTTTACCAGATGCCTAGTTGACTTTCTTTTTAGGAGTTGGAAAGCAGGGGAAAAGTCTGAATGGGTTAAGCAAGGCCCAGCAGCCTCCCAGAAGGACATGGCAAATGGCTCTTCACTTGTTGCTAGGGCCTTGACAGATGAGGCAGAGGAGACATTTTGTTAAAGGAATATGCACGTGAGCTATAATTAATAACAAAATGCCCTTCAGGGCAGTGATCTCTAATCCCTTTTACATGGTGATGAGGTGTCAGTGTGGTCTAATTTGTGAGATATCTACCTGAAGTCCTGCTCACCCAAAAACAAACCCTCAGACAAGGATTCATGAAGTGAGTGGTTTATTACTGAAATGATTCCAGGAGAAACCAGTACAGGAGGAATGGAAGCAGAATCAAGAAGGGAAAGAACCCAAGCAATGCGTTATCTCAGGTGTGGCCAAATGTGAAAACTCAGCTTGATCCTGCAAAGAATTCTGGATTATAAAGAGTGTCTCTGAGTTTTTCCCTTTTGAGGAGCTGGACCATCATTGCCCTCCTCTACCAATTAGTCATTGACTATGGACTCCTTTGGAGAGGGTTTCCAGATTTAGGGACTAAAGATACAGGATGGGTGCCCAGGTAAATCTGAATTTGAGATAAACAACTTTTTAAAAAGTTGACATCCGGAGAGCCTGGGTGGCTCAGTCGGTTCAGCGTCTGCCTTCAGCTCAGGTCGTGATCCCAGAATCCTGGAATCGAGTCCCACACCGGGCTCCCTGCTCCGCGGGGAGCCTGCTTCTCCCTCTCCCTCTGCCTGCTGCTCTGCCTGCTTGTGCTCTCTCTCTCTCTGTCAAATAAATAAATAAAATCTTTAAAAAATAAGTAAGTAGGTAAATAAATAAGTTGGCCCCCGTGAAATATTATTTTCATTTATATACTATATAAATATTAGTATATTTTTATACTAAAAAGTATTCATTGTTTGTCTGAAATTCAGATTTAACTAGGAGTTCTGTATTTATTTGACAACTCTAACCATGAGGGTCAGGGGAGACCCACTCCAAAGCATCCTAAGCCCCTGTGCTAAAGGGCAAATCTTTGAAGGCCATAGGTGCAAGTCATTAGCGGGAAAGCACTCCGAAGCTGGACATGGGCACGCAGAGCTGGTATGAGTGATCTGACCGGATCTGGGTGGGACATCAACAATGTTCCCTAAGAAAACAAAGGAAAAATGGAACTTTGAAGTTGAAAGTCACTCTGCTCAGTAAAAAATGGATGAAGGATGATGCTTTGTTTCTTAGCAGCATTTCTGTCATCACACTGGAGAATATGGCAAGCATATCAGATTCACAAGAGTGTTTACTTAGACTGTGACCATATCAGTGGGAGTAACACGAGGTCTGGAGTTGCCATACATGTCTTCAGCTAGAAACTTCTATTTATACCTCACATCATCCCTTTTTACTCATCCTTTGCCCACCATGCACACCTACCTTGATTTGGGTTCCCCCAGAACAGACCCTGAAATAAGGATTCTAGAGCAAGTAATTTATTTAGGATGTGGTCTTGGAAACCCAAGGGGAGTGGGGAAGTGATCCAGGGAAGAAAAGGAAGCCAAAAAGAGGGTGTCATTAAGCCAGTTACCTCTGTGGGCAACCAGAGCTCAACCTCAGTGGACAACTGTAGGAAACACTGTGCAACACACCTCAGAATTATCCAGTCATGAGACTGGGAATCTGGGGTATGTCTACACCAGCTCCCTGTTAATCACTGGTTGAGGACTTATTCTCGGGCACTAACTCTCTGGCACTTGGGACTTGTTCTGCACACAGGCACTCCATGCTCTGGTGATCCAAAAAAGTCTTTGGGCATAGGGTTGTGGCTGTTCCCAGTCAACAGGATTCTGCGGGTAGAGATGAGGGCCGAGGGGAAACAGGTGGGGGCGCTGCCGTCTGCTACAGCATCCCTCCCAGACCACTCTCGTCCCTCCTCCAAAGGTGCAGTTTGTCAGACCACCAGTTGCTCCACCCCTGATTTCTGTTTACTTTATAGACATGTGACTTTCCTTTTTATACTGACAGTAATGTTAGGAGTTATAGAGACTTGGTAGTTCAGCCAGACTCCTGATGTTATACTTCGGTTGGATCACAGCTGGGTTCTTGACTTGCCTCGTTCTTGTGGTCAAATGATTGTAAGCCCAGAGACACCTCCTTACCATCTGTTTCTCCAGTTGTTGCCCAAAGATTCACTGCCCTAACGTGTTCTGTTTCAGTGAACTAAATTTAACACATTTCTCTCCTCCAGTATAATAATTTTTTTTCCACTCAGGTGTATTATGTGATATGTACTTTCTCAGGGTCACTAAGATACAATAATGGCCTTTCTTCTTCACTGAGGAGTAGAGGTATATGACTTGCTCATCTGTGAGTTTTATTTATACAGATAAATTCAACACACGGTTCTGTCCGCATTATTGACTTGGTACTGTATTCCACATGGTAATTAAATGTGGAAGTGTTTAGACAATGATACCATTCTACCCCTTCACGAACTTCTCAAACTTTGTCAGAGAAGACTGGGACAACCAAATAATTTCAAGACAATATTGTATCATGT